ATTGTAAACCATAAAAGTTGTTAAAACTGGCCGTTTAATATTTTCAACAACTTAGAAATTACATTTTTCATATTTTGTCATTCCTCTACTTTTATTTTTCATATTAATTTTCACTATATTTTGATTATCCTCTTAAAATCTGGCTTGAATAAAATGAAGTGTGACAGAAGAAAAGCAGCAGCAGTATTTGTCAGATATACAGGCTTCACAGGAAGAGTTGGTGTGTGGAGAAACATTTATATACTCATTTAAACAAACTTTCAGTCTTATCTTTCTGCCTACTAACCAGGACAAACATTTCCATCTGGAGAACATAAACACACCAAAGATTCTTGTTAAAAGTATCCTGGACTACGATGTTGTGCAGAAGATCTCTCTGGTGTTACATGTGCAGGTACAGTAAAACACGTGGAACCATAACCAAGTCGTTTTTGCTTCAGTTTCAAACCTGTCTTTTCTACCAGGACACATTTAACGGTTCGGCCTCCAACGAGCCGTTCTTCACCTCTGTGGCCACCATCACAGTTCACGTTAAAGACGTGGATAACCGCCCCCCATGGTTTCAGCCGTGTCTGAGGACAAACTTAGGAATCGCAAAACTGTGCGTCAGCAGTGGCTACAGAGGCAAGGTTAACCTTACTGAGAAGGAGGTGAGTGACTGAATATTTGGAGTTTCTAAATGTAAAGTATTTAGAAATACATTTTACAGTTTGTAGATGAAAGAGAAAAGTAAATGTATCTTTTATCAACTGTCCTATCAATGTGCTGCCTTAAAGAATGTTGTTAAAAGCAGTCAGATACGTGCAGAGGAGGTAAAATCACTAAAATAACACAAAGTATGTTACCGTTGAAATGTTACCCAAGTAAAGTTTCTTGTGTAAAAAAGCTACTCAAGTAAAAGTAAAAATAGCTAAATAATAGTTAAAAGATACTCCTGCTTTTACTTTTAATAAAAGTTAACAGATGTATTACAGCAGGTCCTGGACTACGTTCAGCTACAAAGGACCAGAGGAAAGTTTTTTCTCAAATCAGCGCTTAAATAAAAACAGTCATGATTTAAAAAGCAGTTTCAAAACAAAACATTTAAATGTTGGGGGGTGGGGGTGGGGTCCCAAAGTATTTCACTGCTGACCATCCCACAGTGTTCACTTTGTTCAGTAACTTAACGTGTTGAACAGTACGACCGAGCATTGGGGCCACACAACAGGTTTTTTATTATTATTGCGAGATTAAAGTCGTAATTTTATGAGAATAAAGTTGTAATTTAATGAAGATAAAGTCGTAATTTTACGAGAAAAAAAAGTCTATCTTACGTGACGTGTCCATTTTCCGTTCCTCATTTCCTCCTTATTTTCCTCACACCTGCTGTGTACAGCTACATGTCTGTGTTTATAAAGGTAGTCTGTGATGACTTGGGTCATTAGATTAATATGCTTTCATCCAAATTAGCTACATGACGACTCAATCTGTCAATGCATCCATTAATTACAATACAGCTTCTGTTTATCATACAGTCCTTTGCACAATTTCCAAGTCCTGCTACTGATAATTTGATACTAATGTGCTAAAATAAGATAAGATTGTGAGTCACACAGTTAGGGATTGTACAAACAGTATATTTCTTGTTGAAACTGACAAAGAAGAAATATTGAGTTTGGTAAAAAAAAAAAAAAAAACTGTGTTGGTGGTTAACTGCATTTTAGTCACCTTGTGTTTAGGTATAGAAGTACCGGTTTGAGCAGTGCAGTTGAATTAACCTTGCTGGCTAAGCTGGGGCTGGTGTGGCCAAAGGTTTTTCTGTGGTGGTCGTGGTCACCCTTTGGCTCCACCATGTGCCCTGCCTCTGGATATTTGTCTTAATTACTGTAATCAAACTACAGAAAACAAAGAGTTATAAGAAATAGAAGTGTGTCATGTTAAATCAGATTATTTTTGACACATTTTGGTGTGCTGAGCATTCTGAGAACAAACGTTGGGCCATTTCTCAGAATTATGGAGTTAAGTGCTGGTGAAAAAGGAAAAAACTAAAGCATGTGATTGATTTGAACCTACAGGAAGGCCCACTGGTGCTTGAACCTGGACCTGTGTTCGCCAAGGATGGAGACAAGAACCGGAGCGAACAGATCAGCTACAAAATACTGCGAGGTTTGAGATAAAACACATTTGATTGATTGATTTTTAGTTTTCTTTTCAAACTAAGACTACTGTATATCACAACATATTTTGACAACTTCAAGTTCAAGTAATAATCACTGAAGAAAAATTATACATTTGCTTATGATAAAATAAAATATGTTTTTCATGGCAGAAAGACGTTACAGGGCATTATGTTTATTACAGTTTCCTGACACAAACAAATGTGCTTTTCTTACTGTTTTTATTGTGCCATTTACAGCAACAAACCTACTGTATATCCATTTAAATATGTTAAACTATAAGAATTTAACTTGGTATCAAATAATGTTACACAAGTCAAAACAGTATTTGTAACAAAGTAACCAATCATTGTCTGGATGTGAAAGAAGGACAGGTGGATTTTCTCACAAGCAGATTTATTAACAAAAATGGTAAAAATCTATTAAAATCACCCAAGTAAAAAATGAATTTATGTGAAACTTTTCTAAATTTCAACAAAGTGAATTAAAATAAGACAACTGTAAAGGATCACTAGGACCATGTGCATACCCGCCAACTTTTACTGATGAGGGACACGTTAGTGAGCACCTCATACCCCCAGAAAATTAAAAAACTGTACTCAAAACTCTGCATTTCTCAGAGACGAAAAGTGCCTTTTCTTAAATACTTGACATGTTTACTTAATATCAGAGGTTTAAAGTAACTAAGTACATTTACTTCATTACAGTACTTAAGTATTTTTGGAGGATTTGTAATTTTACCAAGTATTTTTTTAAATTGTTATTTTTGCTTTTATTTTGTTACATTCAAAATGTAAAATTGATACTTTTAATTCTTTACTTGAAAATTTATCACCTAGTTACTGGTTTTCCACCAGTCACTGCCAGCAGCTTTACACTCTTATTTGTGTAACCCTGGGTCTTAAGGGAGGTGTCTACTCTTCAAGTGCTTCTAGTTCAGGGGTTCTCAACACATTTAGGTCTGGGAACCCCTAACAAGGGCGAAAAAAATTTCAGGGACCCCCTCATAAACCCTATACTGTTTTAAAAGATAATTTATTCTCATTTCAACCCCTAAATGCCATGGGAATATATATATATTATTGAATTTATTATGTTTGTTTTATTAGTTCATTGTTCTCCATGCATTTTTAAAAATAAAAACCAAATTAACAATTAAATGAATTTTTTTGTGGACCCCCGAGATACCTCTTACGGACCCCAGTTTGAGAACCTCTGTTCTAGTTTAGTTAGTTGTGTATTATTTTTTGGTTCTTAAAGCAGCTTTTATAAAGAAACCTCAGTTTCTCTGTTTTACTTCTGTTTCTGTTTGTGCATCATCAGGAAATGAAGGGAATATCTTCCAAATCGACGAGGACACGGGGAACATCACAATGCTGAAAGCTGCTGATATTGTTGGACCAATTTTCTTGACTATCCTGGTAACAAAGAATAAATAAAGAAAAGTTTTGTTGTGAATTTGATCACAACACATTCTCCTGCACAATGAACCCGTAACATGTGAACCTGTGCGTTTTGTTGGCTAACAGGCATCGCAGGTGACCAACAGAGATCAGTTTGCAGTGACGCAGGTGACGTTTGAGGTGATGAAGAAGAGCAGAAACCCTCCTCGCTTTGAGAAAGAGCGATATGAAGGCTATATCTACAGTAACTCTGTTCCAGAGTGCATGATTCTCCGAGACCGAAACACCAACCGACCGTTCAGGGTCCGGGCCCGCGATGAGGACTTTGCCAATGTGAGCAGTTTTTATAAAGAATTCAATAAAACTCATATGTGACTGTGGTTGTATTGTACTTGTTTAGAAAACACCATGTTGGTGTAAAAATACTTATATTCAATCATTTTTTTAGCTGAAAAACAAACAGGAAAAAAAAGGACAGGCTGCCAATAATAAGAAAACATAGCAAAAATTATTATTGTCATACTCTGATACCTTGACCAAACCACACTGAACACATCTAATCTCATCTGATCTCTGAAGCTGAGCAGGGTTGGGCCTGGTTAATACTTGGATGGGAGACTGATTCCCACTAGATGCTGTAAAACCTGGTGGAATTCTAGTGATGGAAAACCTTTGACCATCATAGGTTGCCTCCTGTGAAGATCAGTGAGAGCAGATTCTTTTTTTTATTCCTAATTCATACACCTCTTTAAAAGATAAAGTTTAAACAATGAGGGATTTATTATCATTCTTATTTGTAACAAATAACTGATGTCAATATTTTGTTTGGTCCAAATAAATGAACTGAATTACATTGATTTAAACAAGCAAAACATTGACTGAGGAGAAAAAAAGGGTTATTAYCAATGACCAGCAGAAAGTAACTGAAGGTTTGTCTGTTGACTGGTGGTTAAACCATCCAACCAGCCATCCAACCATCCATCCATCATCCAACCAACCATCCATCCACCCAACCATCCAACCAATCATCCAACCATCCATCCATCCATCCANCCATCCATCCATCCATCCAACCATCCATCCATCCATCCAACCAACCATCCAACCATCCATCCATCCAACCAACCATCCAACCATCCATCCATCCATCCAGCCATCCAACCATCCATCCATCATCCATCCATCCACCCAACCAATCAACCATCCATCCATTCATCCATCCATCCATCCATCTAACCATCTAACCATACACCCATCCATCTATCCATCCATCCAGCCAGCCACCATTCATCCATCCACCCATCCATCCATCCATCCATCCATCCATCCATCTAACCATCTAACCATCCACCCATCCATCCAACCAACCATCCATCCATCCATCCATCCATCCATCCACCCATCTAACCATCCACCCATCCATCCAACCAACCATCCATCCATCCATCCATCCATCCATCCAACCAACCATCCATCCATCCATCCATCCATCCATCCATCCATCCATCCATCCATCCATCCATCCATCCATCCATCCAACCAACCATCCATCCATCCATCCATCCATCCATCCATCCATCCAATTTAATTCTGCGTCATGGGGAGCTGGTATTTATCTCCAGCAGTTTTTGTTCAGATGCATGATAATCCTGGCCAGAGCACTAAACAGAACCACAAACAAGACAGACAACCTGTGTGGTCGTGCCACTGGGTGTTGCAGTGAGATAGTTAGGGGTGAATCCGAGGTAAGGAGGAAGAGAAGAAGAAAGGTACTTGATGAACTTAGTGTTTTGGCCTGCTCAAAGTTTGATAAAAAAGTAAAGCAGAACATGGCTCTGTCTGGTTTATACAATACAACACCACTGTACCCACCTTTGCTCACACTTAGGAAAAGGTTTGAGTCCAAACAAACAACTTTTCTTAAGAAATATTAAGGAAATATTCAAAATAAAATAAAAAAAAAACTGTTTGTTTTTGCTGGGCAGGGTGTGAATCCAGATGTGAAATATGAGGTTCAGTACAGCAGCTATGTCAACGTGACCCCCGACGGGTTTGTCATCCTGAAAAGAGGTGTAAAGACAGAGTCGTTTGCACTTCAGGTAACTCATAGCTTGTCTTTAACATGATCTTTATTCCCATTCCCTGACTTTTTTAATGCTGTTGTTATACATGCAGCTCCGGGCAGTGGATGCAACAACAGGCGAGTTTGGAACTACAGCGCTCGCTGTTCAGGTCATACCTGGTAAGATATATATAAATTCATTTATCAATAAAGTCAAAGCCATCTGGACATCAGYTCTGTGGAAAATGTCAGTAATTTACAGAGAGGAGTCTAGGAGTATTTTATGATTGATCAGGTTGTATAAATTGTTTACTGTTGTTCAGTTGTTTTGTTGAGTTAGTCATCTGTCTTTTTCCTCTGCAGCTGTAGCCACGCCCTCCTCAGCAAACATCGGCTATCGTCCAGGTGACATGGCCCTGCTTGGGCTCATCATGGCGGCTCTTCTGGTCCTGTGTCTCATCGTGATAGGCTTCTTAGTTTCTCACCTGTGGAAAGGAAACGCAAGTGTGGCGAAAATATGTGAGGTGAGTTTATGCCACTGGAAAACTTTCTGAGAGGCTCCTGCTTCATCTCTGGCTGTGTTAATGTGGAACCTCTATTCTACCAGTACTGTGGGAGTGTGGGACGGGGGTGCCCTGTCTTGATCTGTCTTTGATTGGTCTGTAATATTGAGGGACCTCTGTCCTGCTAGTATTAACCCTTAGAAGATCTTTAACTCTACGACAACAAGCATTCCTTAGGAGGGAGAAAATGAACCCCCTTACAGACCTGTTTAAAAATACTGTTTTTAATATTTTAGTCAATCTTTTCAGCCTGAAATAAAAATATCAAATTTAAACTATTCATTATTATTATTTTAGCTCTTTAGGGACCTGCAGTTTTACAAAACTACTACCATACATGTCAAATTGTACAGAATGTCTGTAAATTACACCGATTTCCCCAGTTTTGCATGTGTTCAGACATCTATTAAATTTTACAGAATGTCAAAATGTATTGAAGTCTCAGAGCAGGCTGTGAAGAAAAGCTGAGTTCATGAGAAGAGGGTCTGAAATCAGTGTTGTGTAAAAGAGTTTGTTTAATGTGATAAAATCCCCTAATGATAAAATGTAACATATAATTCATCAAACGTAAGGTCATTTTAGCTTCGTTTGTGGCTTTCTTTTCAACAGCAGTTTATTTAAGCTCTTATTTTGAACGCTACAACAYGTTGGGTCTTTAACAAAGAGGTGGGCAGTAACAGAGTAAATTTACTTGAGTATTTAAGTACAGGTTTTGAGAATTTGTATTTTACATGAGTACCATTTTCATAGAAAACTCCACTACATTTCTCTAAAGGCTTTACTAAATACTTGCTTTTTTGGCAGTGTTTGTGTAGTTTAAATCTATTTTGTTCCACCAACGCACTGTAAAACTACACACTACACTACACACACCTGTACAGCAGAGGAGCAGGGAGGAAGGAGGAGGTGGAGAATGTAACATTTCCTTACAGTCTGCCAGCTCTGACATTTAAATCAATTTGAAACAAAGTTGATAAAAGATCTGTTAGTTTTTTTATTTGTCTGTAGAAATGGGGGGAAATCCATGTAATTTACAGATAATCTGTAGAACATGACATATGTGTGGTTTTGCTCTTAACATGTCGATTAAAACAATTCTGCTGCCCAACATGAAGCACCTCTCCCAGGTACAGTGCAGCATCTTGCAGCAGTTTTCATTCTGAGCTTCAAATATAAAAGCCTAAAACAACCCAATAAATAATTAAATAAAACATTACTGAAAAAAGGAAAAGCATTTAACGCATGGATTAAATCAGGGTCAATTCTCCCCTTAAGGAACACTAGAGGGTAGAAACATAAGTGAGCATTTGAAATGTTTCTGACCAAGACAGAACATTTTCAGGCTTTGTCACAAACAGATGTTTATTAACAACACAGGAAAAATGAAAGCGTAGTGTGAAACCAGCTGAAAGCTAACGAGGGGCTTCCCTCCTGTCTGCAGTGCCTCGGGCCCTGCCTTCAGTCGGACCAGCCTCGGTCCGGTCACAGAGACTCCCTGCAGTTCACCAACGACGGCTTCCAGAACGAGAGCGACCCCAGCCGAGGGGTCACCAGGTGCTGGAACAACATCGTGCCCAGGCGCAGCACCCTCCCTCAGCCCAGGAGCCGGATCCTCCCTCTGGAGAGGCAGCGCCGCCACTGCTCCGCCTGCGGCATCTACACCAACCACATCCCCAAGGGGAGCCCCTCGGTGAGGAGAGGCAGAGGGGAGGAGAACCAGTATGGCATGAAGTCAATCCTGGCCAAGCGGCACCGCAAGGAGGGCCAGAAGACGGTGTGGTTCAAGGAGAGCGAGGACTCCTCGGACATCGAAGTGGAGATCATCCCAGACACGGTGGGTCGGGTGGAGGAGGAGACTGAGGAGGAGCTGGAGGTGGAGATGGAGGGGGTGATCAGAGACCCAGCCGCCCCGCTGACAGAACACAGTGTGCAGGAGGGTTCGAACAATGACCTGAGCCAGGAGCAGAACCAGGAGCAGAACCCCGGAGAAACGAGCTCCGACAAAACAGATGGAGACTCAGAGAAGTGCTGACAGAGCTCCAGCTGAGCAGCTACAGTCGAGGCAGACATCTCCATCAGCTGCCAAACACCAACACATCCAAGGATCTGAAAATGTGAGAATTTTAAACTCTGGCTCAGAGGTCAGCCAGGTGTCAAAAACATTTCTGTTGTTTTGGTTAATATTTGTTCCAGACTGTTAAACTCATTACGTTTTCTGCAACAACACTGGTAATATTTCTGAGCTGTGTCACTTTTTAAAGAATTCTTTGTTGAAATTTTATACGTTAATTATTGGAAGACAGAGAAGAAAACRTAAAATAAAACAAGTTAAGATGTTTATTTTCAGTTTTAAGCAGAGACTGACCTTTTGTAATAACACACTGATGTCGCCCCATGTGCACATTATTGGACTGTTGCCTGAAATACAAACATGTAAAGTTAAAATCTAGAGTTTTTTGAAAAAGAGGCAAAAATAACAAACTTGGATCTATTTTTGCAGAGGGATGTGTGATACTCAGGCTATGCTTGTGAACTACATTTAAAACACTAAAGAGTTTTTCAATTACTAATTGATTAAGTTTATTAAATTACACAGCCTGCTGCTTGATACCACAAACTACAAAGGCTTTTAGTGACGACACTAAAAACATTTTTACAATAAATGTATTTTATAAAAGAGAGTGCATCAACACTCAGCTGTCCTCAGATTTGTTTTAAATACACTGAACACAAATATAAAGAACATTTTTTGTTTTTGTTTCCATTGTTCATGAGCTGAACTCAAAGATCTAAGACTTTTTCTCTGAACACAACAGACCTTTCCTCAAATAATTGTTCAGAAATGTGTGTAAATCTGTTAGGAGGCACTTCTCCTGTGCAGTGATAATCCATCCCACCTCACAGGTGTGGCATTTCAAGATGCTGATTAGACACATGATTATTGCACAGGTGTGCCTGAGGCTGGCCACATTAAAAAGCCACTCTGAAATGTGCTGTTTTATCCCACAGCATAGTTTTGAGGGAGGTGCAGTTAGCCTGCTGACTGCAGGGATGTCCACCAGAGCTGCCTGTGATTTGAACACAAATTTACACAAAATTTTGAACAATATTTGAGAGAAATGTTCACTTTTTGTACACAGAAAATGTTTTCGGTCTTTGAGTTCAGCTCATGAAAAATAGGGAAAAAAATCAAAATTGTTTATATTTTTTGTTCAGTGTAGCTCAGCTCAGGCATGACTGGTAAGGATCATTTAAAATGTGTCAAAACAATGATAACCTGTCAATTTTACWTTATATTTAAATAACAAATGTATGAAATTTCTGCAAAATGTGTAGCAGGTTACACATGAAGTGCTACAGCTGTCTGCTGCTGCTACTGGAGTTTGTAAAAACAACTAATGTTGCAGATGCAGACAAATTTGTTGGTGCTCACAATAATAAACAAATCACAAGTAAAATTAGTTTTAAATTGGTAGAAAAGGTAACTGCATACCATCCTTTGATTTGCCTGCTTCCTGTGCTGTGTTGCTTTTTTATTATTGTTTTTTATTTTGGTGAATTCCTGTCTGACTTCCTTGTTATGAGTGGAACTTTTCAGGGTCTAACCCTCTACGATTTAATAAGGGTCCCAGTAAAGTTGTGTGCATCAGCATGTTAAGCCAAACCTGATKGTGATGTAGAAGACTTTCTGAATTAGTGTTTGGATGAATCATCATAAAATGTAGAAATTAAAGTTGTTGAAGATGGCTGCAGTCTTCTTTGATCTGGGCCTGTACAACAGGAAAAATACGATTGGTTCAGATTTCCACAGAAATCCCACTTAAAACATTTCAAGCAGGGCTGTTCACCTGGCCCAATGAGGCCCCGCCCCCCACCCACAAATTTACATTTTGAAAAATCATGTTTTTTACTCAATATAAAAACAAATTCAAAATCAATTATCGTTCGTAAATTTAGGATTCAGTGAAACAAAGTAAACTTAAAAAGGTAACATATAATAATGCTTCTTTAATATAATGCAGTGTTTCTACTACCAAATAATCAGGTCATAATTTCAGAACAAATTAATAGTTTTTATTTATTTTAATTATTTTGTGCCTAATATAAAACAGCCACATAACATGTCTTAATTAAACATTTCACATGATCATTAAAAGATATGAATTGTTCCTCTAATAAAACTCTTATGAGCCTTTGTTGCTTAAAAAAAATAACACACTGAATCCCTCCATTAATTTTCCATAAGTCTTACTGAGTAACTATTCAATTACTGTTCAGTAAGTATTGAAAGAGTACAGTGTTTGGATATATTCAGAATCAAATGTTTAGAGTAAACTATCACATGACCAGAGCTGTTTACTTGCTGGTTGCACCATGAGAGGACGGCTACCTCAAACCTTTCGAACTGAGGCAAGGAAGGTATGATAAAATAAAGATGGGAAAAATATTTTTGGTGCACATCTTTAAAGTGTGTAGTTGATGTATACATTTTTACATTTATTGAGATGGGTCTGGTGAGCAGAATGAGTAAACATGTTGACAGTCACAATAAGCATGCCGTATGTATAGGTGCATACATAAAATACATACCATATTCTCACTGTGTCAAACTTTCTTCTTCTTTCGTTCAGGTTTACTGTCAGTGAAGTTCTTGATATGTTAGGTTTAGGTGATTGGCCAGACAAAGCACGCAACATTGAAATAAGAAAGATGACATCCTTATTATTTGTGATAGTGATGGATCAGGCATGGACTATGAGGAGGAGATACGACCATTTGCGGTCTTGGGTTTTCAAGAGAAAACTGACTATATGGGAAAAGATGAGGACTYTCTTCACCAATCATGTGGCACCAATGAAATTATGGAAGTATGGTAACAAAATAAGGGTGTGCCAATWCATCAATTGAAAGATTGATTCAGTTACATCAACGCAAAACAAAAACACCCATCTACATCACCATCATATGTCTGATGTGGATCGATATCATATATAATGTAATACATAAATATGATATATATCATCTATCTATCCATCGACTCAAAGATAAAGTGAATACCATATACATATATATATAT